TAGTATTTGTTGTAGGACCTTTTTCAGCTTGGTTTAGTTACAGTCTTTGTAAAGAATTGTCATAAAATTACAAAATAATTTTAAAAATAGATTCGGTTTACAACAGTTAGTAAAAATTTTAACACCAGACTATCTCTATTTATTAGGTCTCGTATTGGAGTCCTTTACACATGAAGTTTATTGTCCTATACGTTATGTTTGATTTGCTGTTTTTGTAAATTAGCTTGAATTATGTTGTAATTTGCCAAAGATTAATTGCTTAATTATTACTACATCTTATAAAGTCATTAAAGTGGAATGTATTGAAACATCAACCCAACCAAAAATAATAATGAGAATGATAAATTAGCATTCAAAAATGAAAATTTGGGCAAAAGCCTTCTATCACTTACAAGTGTACAATTTTTTAATATAATTTTATATGTATTTATTTTTTTCACTTTATTAAATTTCATGATATTTTATGCATTCACTTATTTAATGATGATAAGAGAAAGATTAGATAGAAAAGTTAGCACAAAAAACCAATCTGCCTATCACATCTCACCCTTAACAAAAAAAATAATGAAAAAAGGGATAAATTTTATGGGATCAAAATTTAAGACCAATGAGTTGACATGAGTTATGCCATTTAAAATATTAAAAGGTAGATCATATATTATTCAATGATTTGTTTCTTTTCTTTATTAGGACCCATAATATTATATGAATCAATTCATTTAATAACATGCTTATGCCATATCATTAATCTCAAATTTTGATCCTAAATTTTCTTCTTTTTTATCACTACTCTTAGGGCTCATTTGGTATAATAGTTTAAAGAGAGTGATTAACAGTTTTGTCCAAACCGTCAAGAATAAGTATTTAGTAAATTTATTTATTTTGAAACCAGTACAAATTAGGTATTTTCTAAAACTTTTTATTTAGCAATTTGGCATTAATAGATAGCGATTAAAGTCCAAACTACTAATGTATTGAAAAAACTACCTACAGTAACCTTTTGTACCAAATCACTAGTGGATTTAAATTTTTTAATTTTATTGACCAATTTATTCATTTTAATTTTTTAATTTTTGGCCACAATTTTTAATTAGTA